ATTGATGCTCCTTCTTGATTTCTACTTTCGCGGTGTCAAACATCATGAATATTTCAAGGGTCATCATATCTATCCCTGATATGTTATAGTTAATCACGAAGCTCTAGCAGCTTGGTGGCAATGACTTTGGGGAAACATCACTATCTCATCTGGAGGATCAACTCCCACTCGATTCAAGTGATTGTTGTGCTCAGACAATCTGAGCACAAGCTCAACGATTGAGCTTTTCTCCCTTAGTTTGCAGGCTAAGAAAATCGTCGGAGGTCTTATAACTCTTGACGTGGGCACGAGCCTGAAATCCCAATTTCAGCCCTTGAAATATCTCATATGTTCCGCGACGTTTCGAAAACGTCTTTGGTGCCTCTACTTAAACCATTTAATTGAACTATCACGTAGTTATCAAAACGTGTATGTCCGATGTTCGCAACATCGACAAACGACGTTGGGGTTCAGCACACTGAGCGGTGCATTAAGGACATAAGCTTTCTACTGATCGCATAATCGCTACTATCAACTTTCAACTATATTTTCTCTAGGAACATATCTAAACAGTGGAACTAAAGCGCGAGCTTACGACATAATTTGCAAAAGGTATTTTGACTATGTTCAGGATAATTAAGTTCATCTTATGAACTCCCACTTAGATAGACATCCCTCTGGTCATCTAAGTGATCACATGATCCGAGTCAACTAGGCCGTGTCCGATCATCACGTGAGACGGACTAGTCATCATCGGTGAACATCTTCATGTTGATCGTATCTACCATACGACTCATGCTCGACCTTTCGGTCTCCGTGTTCCGAGGCCATGTCTGCACATGCTAGGCTCGTCAAGTTAACCCTAACTGTTTTCACTGTGTAAAACTGTCTTACACCCGTTGTATGTGAACGTAAGAATCCATCACACCCGATCATCACGTGGTGCTTAGAAGCGACGAACTGTAGCAACGGTGCACAGTTAGGGGAGAACACTTCTTGAAATTTTGTAAGGGATCATCTTATTTACTACCGTCGTCTAAGTAAACAAGATGCATAAACATGATAAACATCACATGCAATCAAATAGAGTAGTGACATGATATGGCCAATATCATATAGCTCCTTTGATCTTCATCTTCGGGGCTCCATGATCATCTTGTCACCGGCATGACACCATGATCTCCATCATCATGATCTCCATCATCGTGTCTTCATGAAGTTGTCACGCCAACGACTACTTCTACTTCTATGACTAACGCGTTTAGCAATAAAGTAAAGTAGTTTACATGGCGTTCTTCAATGACACGCAGGTCATACAATAAATAAAGACAACTCCTATGGCTCCTGCCGGTTGTCATACTCATCGACATGCAAGTCGTGAATCCTATTACAAGAACATGATCAATCTCATACATCACATATATCATTCATCACATCCTTTTGGCCATATCACATCACATAGCATACCCTGCAAAAACAAGTTAGACGTCCTCTAATTGTTGTTTGCATGTTTTACGTGGCTGCTATGGGTTTCTAGCAAGAACGTTTCTTACCTACGCAAAACCACAACGTGATATGCCAATTGCTATTTACCCTTCATAAGGACCCTTTTCATCGAATCCGTTCCGACTAAAGTGGGAGAGACTGGCACCTGCTAGCCACCTTATGCACAAAGTGCATGTCAATCGGTGGAACCTGTCTCACGTAAGAGTACGTGTAAGGTCGGTCCGGGCCGCTTCATCCCACAATACCGTCGAAACAAGATTGGATTAGTAACGGTAAGCATATTGAACAAAATCAACGCCCACAACTACTTTGTGTTCTACTCGTGCAAAGAATCTACGCAATAGACCTAGCTCATGATGCCACTGTTGGGGAACGTAGCAGAAATTCAAAAATTTTCCTACGTGTCACCAAGATCTATCTATGGAGAAACCAGCTACGAGTAGAAGGAGAGTGCATCTACATACCCTTGTAGATCGCTAAGCGGAAGCGTTCAAGTGAACGGGGTTGATGGAGTCGTACTCGTCGTGATTCAAATCACCGATGATCCTAGTGCCGAACGGACGGCACCTCCGCGTTCAACACACGTACAGCCCGGTGACGTCTCCCACGCCTTGATCCAGCAAGGAGAGAGGGAGAGGTTGAGGAAGACTCCATCCAACAGCAGCACAACGGCGTGGTGGTGGTGGAGGAGCATGGCAATCCAGCAGGGCTTCGCCAAGCACCATGGAGAGGAGGAGTAGGAAGAGAGGTAGGGCTGTGCCAGAACTTCGTGTATAGCTCCCATGCGCCTCCCCACTATATATAGGGGTGGAGGGGATGGTTTCTTGCCCTCCAAGTCCATTGGGGCGTTGGCCAAGGTGGGAGGAAAGGAATCTCATTATTTCCTTCCCCACCGATTGTTATCCCCCCTTTTTAGGGATCTTGATCTTATCCCTTCGGGATATGATCTTATTCCTTCTAAGGGGGGATCTTGGTGCGCCTTGACCAGGGGTGTGGGGCCTTGCCCTCACTACCCACGTCCATGTGGGTCCCCCCATGCAGGTGGGCCCCACTCCGGAACCTTCTAGAACCTTCCCGGTACAATACCGAAAAATCCCGAACATTTTCCGGTGGCCAAAATAGGACTTCCCATATATAAATCTTTACCTCCGGACCATTCCGGAACTCCTCGTGACGTCCGGGATCTCATCCGGGACTCCGAACAACATTCGGTAACCACATACAAACTTCCTTTATAACCCTAGCGTCATCGAACCTTAAGTGTGTAGACCCTACGGGTTCGGGAGACATGTAGACATGACCGAGACGTTCTCCGGTCAATAACCAACAGCGGGATCTGGATATCCATGATGGCTCCCACATGTTCCACGATGATCTCATCGGATGAACCACGATGTCAAGGACTTAATCAATCCCGTATTCAATTCCCTTTGTCTATCGGTATGTTACTTGCCCGAGATTCGATCGTCGGTATCCAATACCTTGTTCAATCTCGTTACCGGCAAGTCACTTTACTCGTTCCGTAACACATCATCCCGTGATCAACTCCTTGGTCACATTGCGCATATGATGATGTCCTACCGAGTGGGCCCAGAGATACCTCTCCGTTTACACGGAGTGACAAATCCCAGTCTCTATCCGCATAAAACAATAGATACTTTCGGAGATACCTGTAGTGCACCTTTATAGTCACCCAGTTACGTTGTGACGTTTGATACACCCAAAGCACTCCTACGGTATCCAGGAGTTACACGCTCTCATGGTCGAAGGAAGAGATACTTGACATTGGCAAAGCTCTAGCAAATGAACTACACGATCTTTTGTGCTAGTCTTAGGATTGGGTCTTGTCCATCACATCATTCTCCTAATGATGTGATCCCGTTATCAACGACATCCAATGTCCATAGCCAGGAAACCATGACTATCTGTTGATCACAACGAGCTAGTCAACTAGAGGCTCACTAGGGACATATTGTGGTCTATGTATTCACACGTGTATTACGATTTCCGGATAATACAGTTATAGCATGAATAAAAGACAATTATCATGAACAAGGAAATATAATAATAATACTTTTATTATTGCCTCTAGGGCATATTTCCAACAAGGGGGGCCGCGCGCCGTGCCTCCTCTCTTCCACCACTTGGCCCATGAGGCCCATTACTTCTTCCTCGTATTCCCGTAACTCCCCGATACCCCCGAAAATACCCCAATCACTCGGAACCTTTATGATATCCGAATATTGTCGTCCAATATATCGATCTTTACGTCTCGACCATTTCGAGACTCCTCGTCATGTCCCCGATCTCATCCGGGACTCCGAACTACCTTTGGTACATCAAATCACATAAACTCATAATATAATCGTCACTGAAACTTTAAGCATGCGGACCCTACAGGTTCGAGAGCTATGTAGACATGACCGAGACATGTCTCCGGTCAATAACCAATAGTGGAACCTGGATGCTCATATTGGCTCCCACATATTCTACGAAGATTTTTATCGGTCAGACCGCATAACAACATACGTTGTTCCCTTTGTCATCGGTATGTTACTTGCCTGAGATTAGATCGTTGGTATCTCAATACCTAGTTCAATCTCGTTACCGGCAAGTCTCTTTACTCGTTCCGTAACACATCATCCCGTAACTAACTCATTAGTTGCAATGTTTGCAAGGCTTATAGTGATGTGCATTACCGAGTGGGCCTAGAGATACCTCTCCGACAATCGGAGTGACAAATCCTAATCTCGAAATACGCCAACCCAACAAGTACCTTCGGAGACACCTGTAGAGCACCTTTATAATCACCCAGTTACGTTGTGACGTTTGGTAGCACACAAAGTGTTCCTCCGGTAAACGGGAGTTGCATAATCTCATAGTTATAGGAACATGTATAAGTCATGAAGAAAGCAATAGCAACAAACTAAACGATCAAGTGCTATGCTAACGGAATGGGTCAAGTCAATCACATCATTCTCCTAATGATGTGATCCCGTTAATCAAATGACAACTCATGTCTATGGCTAGGAAACATAACCATCTTCGATTAATGAGCTAGTCAAGTAGAGGCATACTAGTGACAATTTGTTTGTCTATGTATTCACACATGTATTATGTTTCCGATTAATACAATTCTAGCATGAATAATAAACATTTATCATGATATAAGGAAATAAATAATAACTTTATTATTGCCTCTAGGGCATATTTCCTTCAGCCGGAGAGCTCGGGCATAGCACCTTTCAGAAGGTGACAGCCGCTTTGCGTATGTTGGCATACGGTATCCCGACTGATTTAGTTGATGATCACTTGGCTATGGGTGAGAGTCAAGCCATCATGCGTGTCAAGCGCTTCGCAGTCGGAATTGTGCAAGTGTTTGGCGAGGAGTATTTGAGATCTCCCAATGCTGAAGACGCCGCAAGGCTATTGGCGATGAACAAAGCTCGCGGCTTTCCTGGCATGCTTGGCTCAATAGATTGCATGCATTGGAGTTGGAAGAATTGTCCAAAGGCATGGCATGGGCAATTCCACGGGCAAAAAAAAAAGGTTCCACTATAATCCTTGAAGCGGTGGCCGGTCAAGAGACTTGGATTTGGCATGCATTTTTTGGAATGCCTGGATCTTTGAATGACACCAATGTTGTCAACCGGTCACCACTGATGAGTAAGATTGCAAATGGTGAGTTGCCACCGGTGCAGTTTGTAGCAAATGGTCGTACATACAACTATGGCTATTATCTAGCGGATGGCATCTATCCAAAGTGGCAAACCTTCGTGAAGCCGTTGAGAAAGCCGGAAGGTAAGAAAAATCTTGATTTCCACAATACTCAGGCGGCGGCTAGAAAAGATGGGGAGAGAGCTTTTGGGATTTTGCAAGCCCAATTTGCTATTGCGAGAGGACCGGCTAGATTTTTAGATCAAAAAATGCTTTGATACATCATGCACGCTTGTGTGATCATGCACAACATGATCATCGAGAATGAGCGTGGCCAAGATTTAGACTACTCATAGTATGAGCTCTTGGGACATCCCGTGCGAGTGCGACGGAGGGCTGAAAGGGTGGCCCGTTTTGTTTCCTCCTATCATGCCATTCGGCGTCCCGCGGCGCACAATGATCTTCAGAAGGATCTCATTGAGGAGTGGTAGGCATGGCATGGACGACAAAGAGCATAATTTGTCCGTTCGACATTGTATTGTTCATGAACTATTTGTTGTGTTTATTTCACTATTTGTTGTACTGAACGATAAACTATTTGTTTGGGTTGTAATAACGAAAGTGAACTATTTATTGTTGATTTTTTGTTTATAGTTTGATCATTTTTGCTTCTATTTGAAATGCATATGTTGTTTGTGCGAGTCGCGCGTGCTGCATTTTTTGCGCACTGCTGAAGCTGCGCGTGCTGCATTTTAGCGTGGCTGCTGGAGCTAGCGCTGCCCGCCGCGCCAAATCAGGAGATGAGCGCGCGACAAAGTAGGTTTTAGCGCGTGGCGCGTTCGGCGGCTGTTGGAGATGCTCTAAGTGCTTAGATAGGCGGTTTGAAGAAAGTAAACATGGGTCAAAATAGTGTTGGAGATGACGTAACCCTCAGAAATCCTCACCGCCTCTCCACTTCCTCTTCCTCTTCCTCCCTTCCTCACTTACCAAGCATTCCAGGCCCCAGAAGCATCTAGACCTAAGAATTTACGCAGCCCGGTCCACCGTCGAGGGTCTTCTGGCCAGCCGGCGATGGCTGGATGCCGACGATTCTCCTGGGAGGAAGCTTGGAACAATGTACCAGACAAAAACTTTAATGTGTGGGGAACAGAACACGTGTACTTTACGTCAGCTATACTCAACAGGGGAAAGATAAATACTACATAATAAAGACATGAATACAATGGGGCTATTATAGTGGGTGAGAATTCCAAAACGATTTGATACGCATGATTTCAGTGAGCGTCGTCGTCGAGTGCTCCTGCACAATTTTGACGAGCACTTCCCTATATACATTCATTGTAAGTGTTTCACCATATTTGACTGTTTCTAGCAGAGTGGTTAGGTCCTGCAAAAATATAATCATTAGATGTGTTGTTTATTGCTAATGTGCTATGAACATTTTGGCATTGTTAATTATTGCCTGTTATCATGAATCTATAAACTGGTTCTTATGTAGCCTTATGAAACACAACGGTGTGGGAAACAAATCTATATTATACGGTACATGAGAACCCAATGACACCACATTCAAAAAATTGAGGTGGCTATGCTACAAAACAAGCAACACAACAAAGTGCGCCTTACCTTCTAGTTTCATGTTAAATGTACCGTAATTGATTTCTTAGAAAAATATCCACATGGTTCATCATACAAATCAAAAAACCAATACAGGAAAAATTTCTAAAATCTTTTAAATCAAAGAGTCCCTAAAACTGATAATAGAAAGGTTGTCCAGTTTAACCAAAAAGAAAAAGAAATCCAAACAGCCAAGGTGAACTAAAAAGAAAAGAAATCCAAGCAGCCAAGGTGATATGCGTGTAGTTCTTCATTGTTTAGCTCCAATCCCTAAGGGCATCTCCAACGTTGCCCATCAAAATGCCACTAATCATTCAGGCGTGTGGTCCGAACACTTTGTGTCATCCACCGTCGTACGTCAAACGTCCACAGACCAGTCTGGACGTCTGAATTTCCACAAACCGGAAGCAAACCTGGCGGAGCTTTGCAGATGTCCGAACAGACGCCACGCAGGTGTCTGACACTCCGGATCTAGTCAAAAACCCATCTAGAGCCCCGTTTTTCTCACTCCGTCTCTTCCCCTTCCTCTCTATCTGGATAGTCTGAGACCGATGTCGCCGCTACACCAACCACTTTGCCGTCCAGACATTGCCGGACCTCCGCCACCCCCTGGATGTAGACCAAACACATGTCTCGAAGCCAAGGTGTCTGGACTAGAGTACTTGAGAGAACCAACTGCCGAAGACACCGCACGACTCATGGCACTGTCGGAAGTCAGAGGGTAGCTAGGTATGCTCGGATCCTTGGATTACATGCACTGCATGGCAATGAAAGAATTTCCCATATGCTCTAAAGGGCAATATCAGGACCATTGCAAGAAGCCCATCATGATTCTTGAAGCAGTTGCATCACAAGACCTCTGGATATGACACTCTTTCTTTGGGATTTTCAGGTCTCACAATGACATTAATGTGCCACATCCGTCTCCATTGTTTGCGAGGTTGTGTGCAGGAGAAGCTCTTCCATGTAACTATAGTACTATATACCATCGATGGTCATGACTGCAACATGAGCTATTATCTTTGTGATGGTATCAATTCTTCATGGGCGACCTCCGTCAGGACCATCTATGATTCAAGGGGCGAGAAAAGATCTAATTTTTCCCAAAGAAAAGGAGTCGGAAAGGATGATGAGAGGGCATTTAGAGTGCTCGAGCTCATTTTGCAGTTGTTCGAGGACCTGCAAAAATATGGGATACAGAGACGTTGTGGGAGGTGATGGCAGTTTGTGTCATACACAACATTATTGTGGCGGATGAGGGTGACGGAGTTCGCCACGGTTTGGAATTTGAGCGCATGAGTGATCCTATCCAACTTTTAGATCAAAATCCGACAAAGTTTGATGATTTTATCCAAATGCATCGGCAAATTCACTATAGAACAATTCATGAGCAGCTTCAGAATGATCTAGTTTGCATATTTGTGGACGCTTCAAAGGAAAAAATTAAAAAATGTGTCTGAACAATGAACTTTAGATTTGAACTATTTTATTGAATTTGAATTTATTTTGTATCGAAATATTTGCATAATATGATTATGAGAAAAGGATGATATTTATCTTTCAAGTGCTTAGATAGGCGGTTTGGAGAAAGTAAACATGGGTCAAAACAGTGTTGGAGATGACGTAACCCTCAGAAATCCCCATCGCCTCTCCACTTCCTCTTCCTCTTCCTCCCTTGCTCACTCACCAAGCATTCCAGGCCCCAGAAGCATCAAGACCCAAGAATTCACGCAGCCCGGTCCACCGTCGAGGGTTTTCTGGCCAGCCGGCCATGGCCGGATGCTGACGGTTCTCCTGGGAGGAAGCTCGGCTTCAAAATCTGGCGACAGCAGCTCGCTAGGGTGCCACGCAATTCCACCCCTGCTCCACCTCCACAAGATCTACAGGTAAACGATCAACGAGCTCATAATTTTCACTCCGAGGTGCCAGTTGATGCAGCGAAGGGTCCGTCCATGCCTGATCTTCGTCGGGTTCTGTTTTTCAGCGGCCAGAGCCGGCGCTCCCCACCTGTTCGGCGTAATGCCTAAGGAGCAAGCAACGGTCTCCCGCCGTTGGAAGGCGGCGCCCGAGGCGCGTGGCGGCGAGGGGATCGACGCGCTGCCGGGCGAGGTCCTGCAGCACGTACTGTCCTTCTTGCCGGTGGCGGAGGCCGTGCAGACCTGCGTGCTGGCTCGGCGCTGGCGCGACCTCTGGAAGTCCATGCCGGTCCTGCGCATCACCTGCGAGGGCAGGATTCTGAACCGGCGGGGCGTCAGGAGGCTCAACAAGTTTGTGAACCATCTGCTGCTCCTCCGTGACCGCAGCGCGCCCCTGCATGCGTGTGAGATAGAGCTCAGCACTTTCCATAGCCAGGATGAACCGCAGGTCAACTTATGGATCCGGCATGCTCTCTTGTGCCAAGCTCGAGTCCTCAGTGTTCATTTAGGCCGTGATAACAATAGCTTCGAGCTGCTGGAGGACCTGCCTCTCGTCTCTCTGCACTTGACGAGGTTGGAGCTTTGCAACGTAGTGTTAAATGATAGCATTCTGTATTTTTCGAGCTGCCCAGCGCTGGAAGAACTGTGGATGAGGGGTTGCTACGTCCAAGCTGATATGATCATGTCCCAGTCCCTAAAACGCCTGACCATCCTTGACTGCATATTTTATCCAAATGAACGGACTCGGATTTCTGTCCCAAGTCTAGTTACACTGGAATTAATTGAGTGCTGGGGGAGGACTCCTTTGCTTGAAAGCATGCCATCATTAGTAACAGGATCTATTAAGCTTGCCGACTGTGATGATTGTTGTGGTAAAGAAGCTGGTGGTTCGTGTGTCGATGTTACCTGTGAAAATTGCAGTTCCATTGATGATGACACTGGAGATTGTGTGCTTCTCAATGGTTTGTCAGAGGCTAAAAGCTTGGAGTTGATAGCTGAACCTTGTGTGGTATGTTTGCATCTACTTCTTTTCTCAGCTTTCATTGTTATTTGTGAACCCTGATACATTATGTCTCTTACATTATATCATCATTTGACATCTGTGAAGTAACCGCTATGCAAGTGGTTTGCTTGCACCTGTACATTATATGGATTTAATTTCCCGTGACTGTATTCATATTTTGTATTGTATTACTTCTGAAACTGCAAGCACAGGTTTAATGTTTGTATTGGAATAAATCTGTCAAATCTATTTTTATATGGCCAATTATACATATTCACATTGAGAAATATTATGTACAATTTTATATGTTATGCAAGGAGGTAAAAGCAAACTTATAAAATCTGATATGGGTTACAAGCCTCTTTTCGCTTTGGCCAAATCAGATTTTGCTTTTCAATACTTGTGGGAGCTTCATTTACTTCAGTAGCATCACACCTTGTACTTAAAAAAAAAATCTTGAGATATTCTTACCCATTTACATTTTCTGTAGTTTATCCTCAAAAGAGATTTGATGTGGTGCCCTACCTTTAGCAAGTTAAAAACCTTGTTACTCAATGATTGGTGTATGAAGGCCAATCTTGGTGCACTCATGTGCTTTCTCCAACATACACCTGTTCTCGAGAAGCTTACCATCCAGCTTTGTCAGGTATATACTTCGTAAATCTGATATATGTTCCAATTTAGGTTATCATGCATGATTTAATGTAGTATTTTTGCTCCATACACATACAGGCACCCAGCAGTCGGATGGGGACTGAAGGAAGCTACAATCTGACGGGACAACCGTTTGTTTTATCTAACAAGCTTAAGGTACTTGAAATCAAGTGTGAGAACATTGATGAGAGGGTTCACAGAATTTTAACGTTCTTGAGTACCTATAGCATACATGTTGAGCAAATCAATATCCAGCAGAGTATTGGATCTTCTGAAGGTTAGTAGGTTCTTGACGCTCGTACCATCTAGGCCCCAATTGCACTTCTATTGATTAGTAACTAGGGGCAGGGTCGCGCCCGTGGCGCGCCTCTTGAGATGCTCCTCTGCACTTATAGGCTGTCTACTGACTTTATTGTCCCTGCTTTAATCAAATAGATACTAACCAAAATAAACACTGGACAATAGTTTCATGTGAGTATGTTAAAAGAATAGAAGCCACACTCTTTATATTGATCTGATCATACCATAGGAGGTCAAGAATTTGGCAAGTCAATAATACACATACGAATAACAATATGCCATTTCATAACAAATAAGGTCCTTGCACCCATGTAAATCTCATGCTGCAACAGCCGCCAAGATTCCGACGTGTTGAGCTTCTGCGCGTTCACGATGGCCGAGATGATGCCGGGGAAGGCTTTGGTACCCCACCAGTCGTCCTGGTCCGACGAGGCATAAATCTGCCGAAGGAGAAAAACCATTACTGTGGTTAGTTTCAGACTAACTTCGGAGTTCAGACAACTACAGTACTATGTAACAAGCCTGCAGCTTTGATGCTCATCATATGTTTGGACCACGGTCTCCCTCCGAGCCACTCTTGGTTGGTGAAGGCTCGCTCCGCCATCGTCCATCGGTCGTTGATCTCTTTGACTTTCAGCATGCGTACCCTCGTGTTATGGCCCTTCTTTTGTGCTTGCAACATCTGTTGTCATGAGGACGGCAGATAGTCCATGTTTCAAGTAATTGTTGGAGCTACTTCTACATGCCACACTTAACGATAATTTCATGAAAAAAATGTGTGTACCAATCAATAAGAAGCGAGTCTATCATGAATTCATGATTCTGTTTCAGTTTCCTTGATGAAACTGAATTAGGGGATTACCCTGTGTGTCTATCTCAGTTGCCAGAAGAGAAAATACCTCCAGTTCAGACACGTAGGGGACATAATTGAAGGGAATGATCTCATCATCTGCAAGTCTCAGTAAAATGGGTTAGTCAGCGCTATAGTGAACTTTCTGAATTTGAAAAGATAGCTCGCTCAGTACATACTACATGTCTGTGGAACAAAGGGTCTCCAAACTGCTCCATCCAATCAAAATCATCGTATAGCGAGTGGTAGACAGGGTATTCTGAAACTGCAAGAGCAACAATATTTACGGCAGATGCTAGAGGAATAATAATAAAGCGAGCAGTAAATATATGGTTTGATAGTCCACTGTTCTGTTTTTCTAAATGAATCAGAACAATACTATAGAAAGGGAGCACGGATTTTCAGGCTTATACACCACCAAAAGCGTTTCACTTACATAATCCATAAGAGATGTCAAGTGAAGGGACTCCAATGTGCTCGACAAAAGCTGCAAAATCTGTTCCTGCACCGGCCACTCTTGCAGTATGAAAATAGGAGCTTAATACTTCAGTATGTTTCAATCAAATGAAGCTCTCATGATCGCTCATTTGTGCCATGTAGTCATACAAGGTATGAGACGGATCATCAGGATCGGGTACCTTCAATGAAGGAAAAAAAAGGATCAAATAATTAAATAAATTTGGAATCTATGTAGACAAGTCTCTAATATGTACTCAATGCTGCTCATGAAGTTTAAATTCTATGCTTATAAAGGCTTTAGGTGCAGAACTAAAATACCATTCTGCTTGCTTCATTGATTAATTCATAGTTGTCGTGTTGCACGGGGCATAAGACTTCCAGGCCCAAACATTGACATGTCTACATTCAGATAAGCAACACCTCTTGAAGCAAGCATATCCATGTCCTCCTCGGTCCATTCCGTAGACCCTATCCGAGGCATTGGAATTTTCAACGCTTTAGAGCTTACACTTGCGGATGAGAAAGCATCTGAGAGCATGCGAGCAAGAACATACCAGCGCAAACTCTTCTGCATCCCAATTGCAGACGATGATTGTTCGCCTTGGCCTCCATCCTTTATTTTCTAGCTTGGACAGCCTCCCTGCTATCTACAAACAAAGATAGGGTATTGGCATTATCCTCAATTTATCAAAGATGCCTTGCATTCAGAACAGCTTAGTATTCGGTAAGGTTGATTACCTCGAGCATAGTTGCTGTTCTGCTGTTGGGATCGACTGCCTCAAATGTTTTTAGTACATTTTTTCATATGCTGGCTACAGAAAGCGAATATAACCAATGTACCAGCAGACTTTCAACAGAACAAGTACATCACGATTGTTTGGTTGCAACTGATTTACCTCGTTTTGTGTTTGCCGTTTCGTGAGCTTATGCCGTACAGATTGATCAGCATCATTTATAACAATTTCTCGTGCTATAAGCTCAGCCACTAGTTTTGCCTGAGGCAACAACACAGAGATAGTAAATATGAATACTTAGTCCCAATAATACATAGGCTAGCTTGCTCATATGGGGGGTAGGGACTGTATCATGGAGCACAGACCTGACTTAGTTTCTGAATTGCAGCAGCAGCAGCAGCAGCACTCTGAAGCACCGGTGGAACGAGCGATGGCGGCAGGATATGCAGTAGTGCCACGGAATTGAAAGATGGGCAGTCTCGCCGCCGCAGCCGCGGCGACCAAATCCTCTGCAGGTTGATCCCACTTCCTCTCTTTTACAGAAAAAAAGACGGAAACATCGGGCCTAGCATTCCTTTTTCGCAGATCAATCCACCATTAGAGGATAAGAGCGTTGATCCCACTTCCTCTTTTTTACAGAAACAAAGACGGAAAAAATCGGCCCTAGCATTCCTTTTTCGCAGACCAATCCGCAATTATAGAGGACAAAAGCGAGCGGGGAAGGAGGGGAGGTGGGGAGGGGCGCACCAGATCGACCATCTTGATGAGGCCCTCCAGGCCAGAGTTGTTCTTGACGTTCAGGAGGTGGAAGTTGCTGCAGCGGGCGAGGTGGGGCGGGGGTGGGTCGACGAGGCGGCGGATCTTGTAGCAGTAGACGTCGACGGCGAGGACGGAGTCCGGGGTCTCGGCCATGAGGTGCTCGCAGATGAATCCACCGCCCCGCTCATGCAGATGGTGAGAGGCGCTACGAGCACACCGTCCAGATCCAACCTGTCGTCGCTGGCGGGCGCCGGCCTCGGCAGCGACATGGTCCTGGCGGTCGAGCGGGCGAGCCGATCCAGTCAAAGGAGAGAGATCTTTGGAGAGGGAAAAAGAGGTTGCGTGCTCGAGAGAGAAGGTGCGTGTGGCTCGAGGGGCACGAAGGAACGAGGGAAAAAGAGGTTTCTTTTTTCATCGATGAAACTCGCCAACCCCTTCTGTCTACGTGGACGTCGCGAGGAGGCGCCCTTTGCGCCACTGTTAAAGGGTTGTACTAGAACGATCATGTTGAGGTTACAGGGCCCAAGGATTTTCCTCAGGAACCCAGAGCTGGACCTTCTCAAGCGCGAACTCCGCGTGTGTTGCCCTCGCAGAATGCTCAGTTGAGGAGCATGGCTGAGCAGATTGTAGTCAGGCAGGAGCAGATCGAAGTTGAGCAACAACAGATCCTAGCGCATCTGGGGCAGATCCAAGTTGAACAATTGTTACGGCATATCTCTCTCAAGGTAGTTTTGGTGATTGATGACAACATGTTTGCGGACTAATCTTGTGCTTTGAATAATTCACAGATTCTTCCCTGGTACGAGACGCCTTCTTCCCTTGAAGTGTATTTCAAGACGGTGTAGCTCTTTTGTTTTTTTTCTCGGTGGACTAGTTGCGTAGAGGGCACCGTACTATCAAGAGGGGATCCGCTGGGGTTTTGCATGGATAAAATCATCACGTACACATCAGCTTCTCACCCTCCGAGCATCCTTTCCATTGAAGAGATCTCTCCTCTCTCTTCCTTGTCCTGTCTGGGTCAAAGCGGTAGTACCGCGCACCCAGCGGTAGTACCGCTGAGAAACCACAAGCGGCAGTACCGCTCCGCAGCGGTAGTACCGCCCGTGGCTCCTCAGCAGTAGTACCGCTGGGGGCCTGGCACCTCCGCCTTGTCCTCAGCTCCTTTGAGAGATTTCTTCTCTCTCTCGCGCCCCAGCGGTAGTACCGCACTGCCTGCGGTACTACGGCCGAAGGGTCACAAGCGGCAGTACCGCTCCACAGCGGTACTACCGCCCTTGACCCCACTGCTGAAGTACCGCTGGGCAGTCTGGTTCCTACCGCCTCGATTCGAGAGGTCTTTTTCTCGTGTCGGGTTTTGCGGCACTAGTCACGGTTGTAGTGGCAGTAGTACCGTTCCAGGAGCGGTAGTATCGCCCTACCACCGCGGTAGTACCGCATTTGGGTCCGTTCCCTACTAGTCTCCTCAGCGCGGCAGTACCGGTGGCTGGCGCGGCAGTACTGTTGTCCTGGCGGTAGTACCGCTCCCTTTCAGCGGTAGTACCGCCCTGTGCGGGGCTGGTTGGTGGGGGGCAACGGGATTGTTGCCCCCACTATAAAAAGGAGTCCCCTTCTTTCTTCCCACCTACCTCTTACTCCCCCAAACTCCATTAAATACTTCAAGCTTCATTTTCGCCCGATCTATCTCTCTAGCCAATCAAATTTGTTGATTTGCTCGGGAGTGGTTGAGAAGGCTCCGATCTACACTTCCACCTAGGGATTTTCGATTCCCCCACTCATCCCTAGCGGATCTTGTTACTCTTGGGTGTTTGAGCACCTTAGACGGTTGAGGTCACCTCGAAGCCATATTCCATTGTGGTGAAGCTTCGTGGTCTTGTTGGGAGCCTTCGATTAAGTTGTGGAGATTGCCCCAACCTTGTTTGTAAAGGTTCGGTCGCCGCCTTCAAGGGCACCAATAGTGGAATCACGGCATCTCGCATTGTGTGAGGGCGTGAGGAGAATACGGTGGCCCTAGTGGCTTCTTGGGGAGCATTGTGCCTCCACACCACTCCAACGAAGACGTACTTTCCCTCAAAAGGAAGGAACTTCGGTAACACATCCTCGTCTTCACCGGATCCATTCTTGGTTATCTCTTACCTTTACTTGTGCAAACTCTTTAGTGTTTCTACCCTTACTTGCTTGTATGCTTGTTGTTATTGCATCATATAGGTTGCTCACCTAGTTGCACATCTAGACAACCTGTTTTGATGCAAAGTTTAATTTGGTAAAGAAAAGCCAAAAAATTGGTAGTTGCCTATTCACCCCCCCTCTAGTCAACCATATCGATCCTTTCAATTGGTATCAGAGCCTCGTCTCTTTATTAAGGGCTTTATCGTCCAAAGAGTATGGTTGATACCGTAGACGGTGTGGAGGAACACTC